GTGTGTGTGTGTGTGTGTGTGTGTGTGTGTGTGTGTTTTAAGGGGGGGGTGCGGATGAGAGGAGGGGCAATCGGTGCATCGTTCCAGTGGAGGGGGGTGGGGTAGGGGAGAGGGGGCGACAATCGGCGCACCGTTCCGGAGGCCGCTGATACCCTGCCAACATTACTGCCCTGCAGCTCTCGTCAGGTGCGCGTGGTGCTTGTTGCTTCCCCACGGGGGGCAGCAGCCCGCACAAAGCAGCAGCTCAGCGCATTCAAGGCGCCACCCTCGTAAGCGAACTCAAACGCCATACCGCGACAACCAGCGCGCCCCGCCAGATCAAAAGCCCCTCGCCCGCAGCAACCATAGCCCGAGCCGCCCCCGCTGCCCGCAGTGCGCTGCCCTCCCATCGCCGCTTGGCGGCCCAGCCGCAGACCCGCGCCGCACCACCCCACACACCTTGACGTCGTACCCCCACTTGCGGGCCAGCTTGCAGGCCGTCTCTCCGCCCTCCACGCCCGTGTTCATGGGCAGCACCTTGTCGTAGCCAAACAGCTTGGTGATGTACTCCTCGTACTCCCCCAGGATGTCTGGGCGCGGATTGGGCGGGAGGGGGGGAGCAGGAGGGTCAACAAGAACCAGGGAGACGAGGGGCGAGGGGGAGGAAAGGCCAGGGGGAGGAGGGGCGAGGGGTGGCTGGGCCAGCAGGAGCAGGGGGCTGGGAGCAAGCGGCGAGGGATATGAGTGGGGCGGGACGCGTCCGGGTCTGCAGCACCCGTGCGCTTGAACTGCCGCGCCAGAGCAGCTGCCGCGCAAGGGCGGCGCGCCAGAGGCAGCGCCATCGAGGTCAAGCCCCCCGCATCGCCCGGCCCCGGCGCCGCGCGCCCTGCACCAGCTTCATCCTCCGTTTGCAAACAGCGGCCCCGCCCCTGCTCGCGGCCCCTCCGGCGCGCCCTGCGCGCGCCACCCACTGTTGTAGAAGGCGCGAGACGTGAGGGCGACCTTGCCAGCCTGCTGCGTCAGGGCATCCACGATCTGAGGGGGCGCAAGGAGGCAGTTGGCAGGTGGGGGATGGGCACGGCCTGGGACAGCTGTCGACGACCGCTACACTGGGGCGCGCCTTGCGCTGCGGTCAGCCTGCGGCCGCGCCCGCTCGAGCGCGCCGCCCCCGCGCCGCTCCGGCGCGGGCGCCGACGGACGCCCGCCCCTTCCCTGGGGCGCGTGCCGCCGGCCCGAGCCCCTGGCCGCACCTTGGGGTGGCAGTGGCCCTGGTTGACGGCCGAGTAGGCCGACAGGAAGTCAAAGTAGCGCTTGCCCTCCACGTCCCACACAAACGCCCCCTGGCCGCGCTCCAGGACAACGGGGATGGGCGCGTAGTTGTGGGCGCCGAAATGGTCCTCCCTGTCAATGTACTGCGGTTGTGGTCAAGGGGACGGGGGTGGGGAGGGTTGGGGGAAAGAGCAGGTCAGTGGAATTGTTGGTGAGGGGGTGGGGTAGGAAGTGCAGGCTCGCGAGTGGGAGAACCGAGTGGGGGCGGGGCGGG